CTGTGCATGGGTGTCAAGGACAGAAAGGCAGATGTGGCAGTGGAAGGTGTCAAAGCAGTTTGGAGAGAAAAACAAAGTAAAGAACAACAACAAAAAAAGAAAACGRTTAATCGATTATTAAATTAGTCATCGATTATTTTAATAATCGATTAGTCATCGATTAATCGATTAATCGTGGCAGCCCTAGTTTAGATGCTTGTTGTCTGTTCAGCGGATTAGAAAACATGTGACTGCTGGATATGGGCACCAGTGACCCCCATGACCCTAAAAGGAAGAAGCAGGTATAGATAATGGATGGATGGATGGATGGATGGATGAACTACTCTGTATTTTGCCACCATAAACCAACTCTTTTAGTGAATACTCAGTAACAGAGCTGCTAACCTTAGAGACCAGATTGGTATTGGTTTCAGGTTTGATTTAACAGAACAAAGAGATCTACTCAAACACACAGAAAAGAGAACTGGAAGTACATTTTTCACAGTGTAACCACCTGCAACAGGTTAAAAAAAAACATCGGTGCAGATTAGTTAGACTAAACAGGAACTATCTGAGGGCATCAGGACATAAAAGTAAAAATAAAACTGTCCTTCAGGAGCTGAACTTTCGAGGCCACTTAATCATTTCAATGAATTAATGCTTACAAATAAAATAACTGTACAAATTATCCACATATTTATTGTTTCTCTTGTCTGTTCTTGTGATGTTGATCTTTCGGTATCGTGATACGGCTACATTTTAGACAAAATATGTGTGACCCATCACATCGAACCGAGGATGAAGTCTCTCAGGGTTGTGTGGAAAAGTAGGTTGATGTGTTTGGATTAAAACGGTCGCAATTATTAAATATAGTCCAAAAATAATKAATAAGGACCTTCCTTATATTCATGATGTTTGAGCAAAAACACTGTCATTTTTTTTAAATATTTTCTTTGTTTTTTGTTTCTGGGAAAATCCTAATGTCCAAATACTATTGAGGTTTCCTCATTAGTATAACCTAAAAATAGGATTCAGATTGAATATTAATATATTATCATGATTAACAAGACACATTAAGACATATGATATCAGGATGTAAAAAGCAGTAATCTGAAAATATGCTGAGATAATTTTGACTAAATTTGTCMTAATCCCCTGTTTGATGTGATGGGTCACATTTGTGYTGTCTGAATATGAAYAAAAAGGTGATTTATTTTTAGTSTGAGCTGACAGTCCTGGTAGGAATGAGGTCAGCAGCATTGTTAGAACTTCTGTGACCAAACATTTCACATCTTCATCTTTATGTATATCTTTGTACCATAACTTTTACATTTTGTACAAGGATTTGAAAKGTAGGTATTTGGTTTAAAGCACCTCTTGTCTGCAACTAACCAGGAACTGTGAAACAGAAATAAGATCAAACTAAAACATAAATCTAGTGATGGACGGTGCAAACATTTTGYGACGATTTACAGACAGACAGAAACGTACATCTTAATGTTTGTGTTAGATAAAAAGAGAGTTTTTTTTTTCATTGACAAAGATCTGACAAAAACAAGTCATGTGTAAAGATAAAAAAAAAAGTCAGTGGAAAGAATGTCACTGTTTACTTAACACTTGGGACAAAACGTGACAACGTGGAGTAAAACCTGAACGCGGTACGACACATAAATTATCAGCTCGACGGAGAACGGAACAGGCRGATGAAGGAGGAACACAAAGTACCTTGAGTAACAAAGCCACATGGCGATCCTTAAGGAATCACAGAGAAGGAAACCAGGAAGGAGGCAGGAAGGAAGGGAGAGGAGGCAGCGTTAAACACAACGGGAACCAGCCGAGGAGGACAAGAAGGAACTGGGTCAGTTTATTACTCAACCTGCACTMATCCAAAACATTTTATTCATCTTGGAGCTGGTTAAACTGGACATTTACACCTGTGAGCACGAGTTCATGAAATCCGTTGTACTCTTGGATTACAGTGATTAGTGTAACRCACATGTGCTCATTTAAATGATTTGCTTGATTCCACAAGCCTCAACAATTTTGAAATTCTATGATTTGATTGACTATAATATTTTACTGTTTATGTACAAAGACTCACAAAAAACATATTACATTCCAACATTCAGGTAAACTTTGTTAAGAGACAGTTGTTATTATCTTAAGGGGATGGAAATGTTTGTGAAGCCATATTTTCGCACTTGCTTGAAAGAAAGATGTACTTTAATCCAAGGTATAGTTTAATCCAGAGTATAGGATTATGGAATTGTCTGGAGGATGATCTTAAAAATGCCAGATCCATGTATATATTTAAGAG